AATAATTGCAAAGCCTCACTTGGGTTATGCTGTTCAATACCTGCTTTTAACTCACATTCAGAAAAACATCACTGCTTAGGAAAAAAAGGTCCCAGTTTTATATCTTCTCCAGACAAAGAATTCCTTTAGATTGAAAGGACCTCTTTTTCTGTTTTTGGACTAACAGATCTTTATTTAAATAAAATATTTAAGTAACATAAATATAATGTTTATTAAGAACCTGAACTTAAGAATTGTTCAAAATAAACAAGTTTGCTTTTATTTTAGTGCACCAAGAATTCCGTAGAAACATAGAAATTTGGAACAGAGAAGAATCTAAGATCCCCTTCTCTAACTCACTCATGAACTGAACCCTTTTTTAAAAGAGAATCAGTAAATTCCTCACAAATTCCATAACTTACAAATGATAGGCCTGGGATTAGATTCCAGATCTCTTGCTCTTTCTACATTACTATATGATATCTCATACTTGACATTCTGGGTGAAAAACGCATAATATTTTGAATTTTGTAAATATTATCAGCCAAAAAGAACATATCAGTTTAATAATATTTTACTAAGGGGAATAATGAATATGATATCCCATTAATTCTATCCATCTATGTAAAACAAAAGGTTTAGCTGAGCCTGTGATGAGTTTGTAAGACACTAAAACAGAACAAAATATTTCTACATCTGTTTTCTCAGTTGTTTATGCGTGGGTGTACATATGAACACTCAAGCCTTCTTAAAACACCAAAACACTTTCAACTACAGAAAGGTTTTTAAAAATCTAATTTCAATAAAACATTGAATTTACTCTATGTACTTAGTGTACTATAACGTACTCTAACAAAACCAAGATATTCACACTATTTGTGATTTAAAAAACCTCAACAGTCATCATGGGAGATGTCTGGGTTTGCATTAATACCTATCAGCTATCTATGACATTGAAAGGGGACTGCAACTCTGTCACTCAGTTTCCTCATATATATACAATAGGCTACAACTCAGAGGGCTCTGATGAAGAACAGAAGAGAAATAATACTTAAAATGCTAAACAAATGTCAGTGCCTCTTCCCTGCCCTGTCTTAAAATGAAATAAATGGTACCAAAAAACTGAAAAATTCTGATGTACACCAGCATTTAGACTACATAAAGACAAGACAATGATGTGAGTTATAGCTAAAATTAGCTCTCAAACATTTCCTTAAAGAACTATTCTGATTAATTTCACCAAAGAAAAAAAGCTTTTACAATAAAAACTTGCATACATATGACTTTAAAAATATATAAAAATGACAATGACAAAAAAGCAGGCATAAAAAATAAATTGGAAATAAATATACCAATTTATTAATAATATGAATGTAACAGAATTATGGATGATTTTTTTCTTCCTACTTTTCTGCATATTCTAAGTTTTCTACAAGGAGCACGTAAAGTCTTCTAAAAAATCATGAGTCATATATTTAAACACCTTTATGAAACTCAAAATTCTCCATATCCCCGTATCATATAACTTCCCCCATAAAATGTATTAAAAGGGCAGAAGACAACGAAGCTGAATGCAGATGGGGACGCTGGGCTGGGCTGACACAGCTGGGGGCTCACTTCGTGCACCAGCCTCGCCGAGTGCACAAGTCAAATTTTAGCCTCACAAAAATTACAAATTACCACATGTCAAGGAGCCTCAAAGATTGCTCTCAAACAGTTACAACCATGAATATAAACCCTGAAATGTTAAGGGTCCACTATACTTTTATATTCAGAAGGAAAAAAAGAACTATCATTTGTAGCACAAAAGGAAGCTTGTCTTGTTGCTGATCTATAAATGTACATGCTTTCAGAATTTATCTTTCCATCATATAAATCCCTTTTATACAGTAAAAAGCACAAATTCACATTCTTTTCTGGAAGTCAAAGTTAAAAAATAAAACTTTGCCTTAGGTGAAAGCTCACAAATAAAAAAGAAGTATCTACTCTGACTAACCAATATACTTACAAAACTAAGATACTTATCAAAAGCTAATTAAAGAAATCTTTATCAACAGATCATAACAAGCAGCAATGTCTGGACAACTAAGAAAATGATTCAGAATCCTGAATCCAGAATCCTGAATCCAGAAAGGTTCTGAATACCAACATTTTAGTTTGTCATGAATTAGATGTCTTTTTTTATATATTGATTGACCAGCTTTTTTCAATCTAAATAATTAAATACAAAAATTAAGTTTATCAACCAGAATAAATGTGAAAGTTTCAGACTTAGCTTATGCTAATCTAATTACAAATTTTGCAACATATAAGTTACTGTGAGAACATCTAATATATAGATATAATAATGTATCTATTATACATTGCTAAGTAGTAATTATATTGTCAGCAACTTTGCAAAGCTTAATAAGTTTCTAGCATTTTACAAACATACATACGTAAATATCCCTTAACTGTATTCTATAATTTTAATAAATCATTCTTAAATTAAAAATTACTGTTAGGGTCAATACACATATTTATATTATTTCATATTAACTTTTAAAATAAATATTAGTCAAATTGCTCTACTTTAGAAAGCTGAAATTACATGCTTCCATATAGCAGTAGGACCCTAAAAATTCAAAAACATTGTAGTTTGTCTAAATTCATATCCATGGCAACCTATTTGAAAGATATCCAATGCCCGTCCCCAAAAAAGGTATTTGCATTTAAAGGTTATTTAATAATCCCAGAATACTCAGTTTGAAACAAAACAAGACCAAATTGCCAGATGACCATAGGATGCATTAACTTCTAGCTCCACCTGCTGGAGTCACAAAATATTTAAAAAATCCAATAGGCAATACTACGGAGCAAATAATTTATCACTTTTCCTCAAATAGACCAAAAAAACTACATGAATTTAAGTTAGAAAATTAATCAAAGTTCAACCATATTCAATTGTTTCCAAAATGACAAAACTAAGTTAAAAACAATACTTCAGTAGAATTGAAGATCTAATCCAATTGTCAAAAAGTGACTACACAATATTTTAATATACTAAGAAAGCATAAGCATTACAGAAAAGACTACAAGTATGCTTTCAAATAGTGTGAAAACTTCAGAATTACAATAGCCTCTGCCTACTTACTTAAAAGAAAAAAAACAATTTTAGCAATGAGTTGTGAAACCTTTACCTTTATGTAACTTTTTTCTTATAATAAAAAAGCAGTATATGCCCATTGTAGAAATATTATACAATGTAAATACCAAAAAAATTATATCATATAATCCTACTACCTTGAGAAAAACAGTTATATCCTTTGTAATTACCCTTCAAGATATTTTTCTGTGCACCTACATACACATGTACTTTATTTTCTTTTTACAAGAAGCATATGTAAATATGCTTTTTTCCAATATCTTTGAGATGAAGAAATTCAAACACATAGTAAATTCTTGTTACTGACTATTCTTCTAGATACTGTTTCACAAAAAGACTATCTTTGCTAATTATAAAATTTCTCTTTATCACCATGGGGAGAAAAGATTTGGGTCCATATGAAAATTCATCTGGAAATGAGGTTTGCCAATTTTGTCATCTGCCTTTGCTGTTCAAAAAGAATGTATCCAACCCACCATATAACACCATAAAATAACTATTAACATTAGTAACACCAATAACTAATGACATTAATAAAATAATAAGTAATAACACTTATAGTAACTAGTAACACAAATTAACAACACTCTTAAAATGAGGGCAGAGTATGGGCAGGACAGAAATCAGAATCTCTAAGCTCCATAACCAATGCTAACAGATAACTGTAAAATTTTTAAGACCCCTCAAGAAAAAATTATGCTAGCACCTTCTATGTGAGAAAAAATTCAGTGTACATACACTACATTGATATGTTAAATACAGGAAGATTCTTCAGAAAGAATAAAGAAAGAAAAAACACATTTCACAGCCTAAACCAGCATCATAATAGCTACCACCTAGTAAGTGCCTATTAAGAGAGTTATTTTACATACATCATTCCTATTCCTAAAAACAAGCCTGCAAAGTGGATTTTATTTATGATCCCAACTAAGATAAAAAAAAAAAAACCTGCAGGCCGGGTGCGGTGGCTCACGCCTGTAATCCCAGCACTCTCGGAGACCGAGGTGGGAGGATCGTTTGAGCTCAGGAGTTCGAGACCAGCCTGAGCAAGAGCGAGACCCCATCTCTACTAAAAAAATAGAAAGAAATTAATCGGACAACTAAAAAACTATACAGAAAAAATTAGCCGGGCATGGTGGCGCATGCCTGTAGTCCCAGCTACTGGGGAGGCTGAGGCAGTAGGATTGCTTGAGCGCAGGAGTTTGAGGTTGCTGTGAGCTAGGCTGACGCCACGGCACTCACTCTAGCCCAGTCAACACAGTGAGACTCTGTCTCAAAAAAAAAAAAAAAGAAAACTGCAGTCAGAGAAGAAGAGTGACTTGCCCAAAGTCTGCTAGAAAACGGCAAAGCCAAGTTTGGAATGTAGGTCTATTTGCTGTCAAAGCAATATATTAATACCATGTTACCTATAATGTCAGTCATAATTTTTTTAAATCATATTAAAATTTATACTTGACAGAGAGTGTTTTTCCCCTTATATCATATATTTTGAAATGACTAAAGAAACTAATAACAAATAAATAAAATAGAAACTATAGCTGATGTTTTTTAGGTTTTAAATGGAGGTTAAATTTTTCTGACATATTCAGATAAACCAAAATTCCCTTGCTAAATATTTAGATGAATATTTGTTTATCAAAATCACAATAAGCATACAAACCATTTACTGATTAAGTAAAAGAAAAAAGTCTTTCACAACTGTCTGAAAATAGAAGTGACAAGTAAAATCTGGTTTTCTGACTTTATTAAGGACCCAAATGGTTCACTGGAGGAAATCACAAATTATGAAGGAAACTAAGAAAAGAAAAATCTAAAAATACAGTGCAATAAAAAATTAAAATATTAATTGTGATTATATAAAGCAATATATACTAACCATGAATCAGGGAGCCATTTAGCCACTGAATATAGTAGTTCTGAGGAAAAGAAAGCAGGATTTCATTGCTGATTATTGAGAAGGGTAAAAGCAAAACAGCCCCAGCTGAAACCGCTAAAGTGAATGTGCTCAAAAACAGCCTGGAAGAGAGAAGAGTCATCATCACTAGTGATCTGAAAACGCAATGAAAATGGAAGTAATCAAAAGGAATACAAACTCTTCAATATTTTAATCAAAAAAGTATTATGTAAGAATTTCATTAAATATATGTAGTTGGGAAACAAATGATATAAGCATGATCCTAGAAGTTAAACTAAATGAACTCTAAAACTCCTTAATAGGTCATTGAGTCTAATGGACCAAAAAGATATATATTTATACATACATATGTACACACACACACATATATAAAAGAGTACTTCACACATTTTACAAAGAATAAATTATACCTCGTTCCTCTTTTAAATATAAGTATTTATTTCACAATTGCATTTAATTAACAACTTTGACAATATATGCTAACAGCAATACAACAACTATTTCAACTGAAAAAAATAGTTATGAAAGCAGTATTAAAAAACAAATTAATTTAAAATGGTTATTTCAGAGGAGCAAAAACTTACAAAGCCATTGGCCTAATATCTCTTGAATGGATAAAGGTTAAATAAATTATAGCAATAAATAGTACAAAACTATTAAACAATATTATTCTATTAAACAACGTTTAAAACACTATTCTTTCATTTTTTAAAAATAAGATAGCTATGATATGTATTGATATGGAAAAATATCTAAAATAAATTAAGTCAATAAAAACAAACTGAAGAAAAGCATGGACAATAAATCTAAAACATTCTCTCTGCTCACTCCCCCCAAAATGCATATATACAATCAGGAAAATAGAGGTGTAAAAAAATCCAGCATGCTATATAAGGAGAGAGGGATTATAAGGCGCTTTCACTTTCTCAGCTAACACATTTCTGAAATGTTTTACATTTTTACAACAAATACCTAATTCTCAAAAGATTTTTAAAAGAATAAAATGGCAAAGAAAAAGGGAACTTCACAAACATTAGTGATAGAACCTTAATTTAATACCATTCAATTAAAGTTAATATTGGAATATAAAAATAAATCTAAGAAAATATTAAATATTTTTAAAAGCAGGAAAAAATCATACTAAATGCCAAAAAAAAAAAAAAAAAAAAACACACACATCTAACAGTAATTGTGAGGCCAATGCCATCTTGTGGCAACCAACAGAAGTGTATTCCTACTTAAAAGCCAAAAACAAGGAAACCTCCTCTGTTCAGTAAATCCGTGATAAACTTCTAAATGTAGACTATATGATACATACCAAAAATATAATTCAAATAAGACACAGAATAACTTTTATGAATTGGCTTTGCTGAATAGACATTTCCTGGGAAAAGCACTCAGTCCTCATCTCGGGGTCCACAGCCAGCTCTGGCAGTGACCAGCCAGCAAGGGATCTCGAGCAAGCTCCTCTCGTCAAGTGAGGAAGTTATCCTGACCACTGCCATTCCTTCCGATGCTACGATCGAGATCAAATCCAAAATCTCACCATTCCAGGTCCTGCACAGATATGCCAATGTCATCTTCCAGGCTTCTCTCTCACGGTGACCCATTCCAACAAACAGACTCACCTAACTTCCTCGTTTCCCAAACATCCAATGGATTTTTAGGGCTCCTTGCCCCTCCACACAATCTGCTCTCTTCCTAGAGTATCCTTCACGTACCATGCATGGCAAATTCATATGTAAATTTCAAGACAGACCTCAAATATCATTTGCCCTGTGAGGCATTCCTTGACTTCTCCCTCCCTGCTCCTCTGGGTAAAATTTGTTCCTCTCTCCTCTAGGCTCCCACATACTTTGAGTACACATGAGCACAGTGAGGGTCAGCCATAGTTCCCAAATCAAAAACCAGAAGCCATGACCTGACAAAAGGAGTAAGCTTATGGGGGCAAACAGATAAAGTATTTAAAGGCACGAGTGACCCAGAAAATCCTGACTATATGGTCACCATAACCATAATGCTTACTCTTTTCAACAAAAATTTACCAGAACCTATTACACTTTGGGTATTGTAATTGGTTCTAGAGATACAAAAAACATAACATCATCCCTGACTGTCCTCGAGTCGTGCTAAGGAGAGGCACTTATACAGGGCTGTGATGGAGCCAGATGCTGGCAGAGATCCCTGAAAGTAAGGCCCTGAGCTGAAAAAGCATCGTAGTGGTCATTGCTCATGTAACCACAGAAAAGTGGCCGTACAGAATGGAGGGAGAGTTTCAGAAATGTTACCTTCTGAAATGGAGTAATATTTTTAAAAATTACATCTTCAGAGTAATGCATCTTTTGTAATTGTGGTAGTAGTAAGACAAGAGTGTTTTCCTGAATATCTCTGACATTTGTGACTATTTCCTTAACCCAACCAGGAAGGCAGAGCCTCTCCTTGTCTAAATAAGGTGATGAGGGCATAGACTTGGACACTGAATACAGCTAGTGTAAAGAAAGCCATAGCTATAGATCATATTGTAAAGCGTCTTTGCAAGGTAATGATGAATTAAAACAGTAAGACTACCTCAAATCTCTTTAACACTCCACAAAGCTTTCACATACTTTCAGTCAGCAAACAGGAGTCAGGATCCTCGATTCTTGAGTCTTTAATGCCCTGTTCTTAACCACCATCATCAGGCTCTTCCCACGCTTTGTACCATGTCCCTGTCGCCCCTCATTCAAGCAAATGACCAAGTCTCCTATTTCAGAGAGGAAAATGAGGGGTATACTCCCTCCACACTTACCACCTCACAGAGCTATCAACAGACACAATATTCTCCTGTTTCTCAGGGAGGACGTCTTCTTCCTTCTGCCCACGTGCACTAATCTCTAACTCTGCTGTTTCCAAGGGCCTTGCTTCACTGGTCACCCCACTCAACCTTCAGCCTTCCCTTCCCTCTACCTGCTGGCCCGCCAAGGATAAACATCCTCAGGTGTTTCTGCTCTTACAGAAAGCTTAAGAGGATTTTACATGTCATATCTTTACTTCTACATCCTCAGTTTCTTCCTTAATGAACAACGGGATTTGTATTCCTCACCATAGTACTGAAAAGGTTCTCCCTGTGGTCAAATCCATCTGATACTTTCTAGTTGCAATCTGACCTTCTATGATATTTCAAATTGATAAGCATCATTTCCTCCTTGAAATTCTTTCCGCAACTTCTGCAACATTCGCCCTTTCCACTTTTTCATTCTCCAGCTCTACTCATCTGTAAAATGTTGGTGCGCCAGTATTCCATCTTAAGTCTTCAGCTCAGCTAATCAATAAACACCTGATGTGTGAATCAAGCTTCCCAATACCTCACTCTGAACCGGTGGTTCTTAACCAGCAGTATCATCAGGAGCACCCACGGAGCTCTTGTTAAAGAAAACATCAGAGACTAACTCACTGAGTCTTTTGGTGGGGTTCATTCACTAGACGAATATTTAGAGTGCTCACTGCCAGGGCTATTCCAGGCACTTTAGAACAGTGAACAAAACACCAAACATTTTTGCCCTATAAGGGTTTATATTGAAGTGGGGGGACTCAGACAATAAATGATAAATTAAGTATGTAAATGTATAATATATTAAAGAGGGTAAATGCTACAGAAAAATGAAGCAAGGTAAGGAGGATTGGAAGGGGGGAGGAGGAAACACAGGTTTCAGTATTAACTATGGCACTCAGAGTAAGCCTCATTGAAAAGCTGAGATTTAGGGAAAAAAACAAAGCAAAACCAAACTGACGGGGATGAGAGAATTAACTCGGTGGGATAGCTGACAAAAAGGAATCTTGGGGCAGACAAAACAGGTCAAAAGCATTAAGGTGCATGTAACATTGACTTCACACCTACCGTGCATCAAGCACCCTACTCTAGATTTTTTTTGCATATGTCATTTAATCCACACAACAGTACTACAAAGTAAGTAGGAGCTCTATTTTACATATGGAGAATGCTTCTCAATCTCTTCTGGACACAAATTAATCTTGAGTGCAGAATTTGAACCCAGATCAGCCTAACTGGTCAGTGCTCACTCACTCCATCAGAGTGAAGGACAAAGACACCAATGGGGGGCAGCGAGGGGCACACCAGGTCAGACTCCTCCTCTTGGATTACCCTCTCCCCCAAACCCCTCCAACTTTATTGTAACTATACAGAAACCCACCGACCCTTGGGAAGAGGATGTCTGTACACACCACCACGATACAGAAACCACCTACATACTGGGAAAACTCAACCCCTCAGACAGGCCGTGCCAGCTGCTCCTGAGACAGGTAAAGGAAGGGAAGCCTGCTCCTGAGAACGGCCACAAGGAAACAGTGTACGACCACATCTTCATTCGAAACACTTCTAGGAGTGAGAGACAAAGTGATGTGTCCTTTTCTGTTTACAAATGACTGACCTCTAAGAACATTTAAGTAGATTTACCACCCCAAGTGGTACACAGACTAAATAGAGAGGAGAGAGGCACGTATCTCCCCTGTCCTTCACACCCAGAGGATTTCACATGGAAAGAATATCTACCCTTCATTCAGTCTGTGATTCACTGTAGCTTTTTTGAGCTGAGTGAACTTTTACTGAAGCAGTAATTTAAACAGAAAAAATGACGATTCACTGAAGAATTTTCACAAATGTCACAGTGTTAGGAATAAAACTAAGACCCCTAATCCTATAAATTTAAAACATCAAGAGAGTAAGAATTGCCAGTATTAAGTTACAGTTGTTTTTATTTATCTAACTTCTCCCGAGGCATTTAAAATAAACTGCCAAATCTAGCAAAAAGCAGGGTTTACTTCTATTCATTTTTCAGTTATGAATCAAATCAGGCCTATTCAAGTCATTTACTAGCTGAAAGTATTTATTTTTTTTATTGAGGCGAAATGTACATTACATAAAATTTATCATTTTAAGGTGAATAAGTCAGTGTCATTTAGTTCATTCACTATGTTGTGCAACCACCACCTATTTCAAGTTCAAAAACATTTTCATCACCCCAAAATACGACGCCATACTCATAGTCACTGTTCTCCATTCCCCGCTCCCTTAGCCTCTTGCACCCAATCTGCTTTTGATGGATTTATCTATTCTGGATATTTCTTATAGATAGAATCATACACCATGTGACCTTTTGAGTCTGGCTTCTTTCACTTAGCATGTTTTTGAGGTTCATCCACACTGCAACATGTATCAGTACTTCATGTCTTTTTATAGCTGAATACTATTTATTCCATTGTATGTGAAAGCATTTAATAATATTAATATTTGCATATGTGTATAAGTATATGTGAGCACATGTAATCTCTTTCTCTCCCTCCTCCCCTTTTCCCACCTCTTCTTCCTCCTCCCTTTTTCTCACCTCCTTTCCTCACTCCCTTCAGCAAAAGATGCATAATTTGATGTTAATTTCAAGAAACATTACACAAAACCAAATAACTAGACTGTAATCTTCAAAAGTGTCAAGGTCAGGAAGGTCAAGGGAATACTGAAGAAATGTTTCAGTGTGAAGGAGGCTAAAAGAACATGACGACCAAATGCATGTGTGATTCTGAACCGGATCCTTTTACTCTAAAGGGCATTTCTGGGACAGTGGGTACGTTTGAATGGGGTACGAGTGGTACTGTACCAATGCTATTATTCTGATGGCTGTACGGTAGATACATAGGAGAATGCACTGTTTATAGGAATTATACATGAAAGTATCCTGAGGAAGTGGAACATCAAGTTAGCAACTTCTCAAACAGTTCAGAGGCAGGGAGAGGCTCTTTGTATTCCACTTCTAACTTTCCTATAAATTTAAGATTATTTCAAAAGAATTCTGAATTATCAATTAAAAAATCCTGGAATAAAGAACTCTTCTATGTGGGTACATCTGTGTAATTTCACATTTTAATCAAGCAAAAATAGGAAGGAATTCACTGCTTTCCATCCAGTTTGATACTTCAAAAAAATTAAGGACGTCTCTATCATATCTCACCAGGGTACATAAGGAACCTAAAGGACAATCTGGGCCCATCTCCTTACTCATAGCAGGTAGAGTTTCAATTAACCAAAGGAGGTGTCTGCAGCCTGGTTCAAGATCAAACAGCCAAGAGTTTTCTTTCTTATGGCCCTAAATTTTCCCAAAGTTAGGCCCATTTCCTCATTAAATCCTCTGAAGATAAAATCTGTCCTCTCTTAAAAAAGTAAATTTTAACAGGAGATAATCAATCCTCAATTATCCCCATATATTTGCTTATTTGTGCTTCCCAAGAATAGAATATTGACAAATGCATTGAAATGCTTTCAGTGAATTTTTTCCATATTTCTATCAAAAAATTAGAATTGAGTTTTGAGAAATATGACTTCAGAATTAGAAATAGAACAATAAACTTTAAAATACATACGAAATCCTGTTGACTATGGCATCTTCATCTTCTTGTTCATCTGCAAAAATGTTTAAGGTATTAATATGCCTTCATCTTCAAAAAAATGTTTCATTAATTTATTAAAAATATAAATGTTAAAAAGCAATTAATTGAATAGAAATGATTTTCAAAAAGCATTGTGTTTATTTCAGCACAGATCAAAATTTAAATCTCATTAAGTCAGGTAGGGTGGTATATGGTTAGAGAATGGAATGTTTTGATTAATCAAAATTCCACATTAACAAAACTACCATAAGTAAATTGAAATTTCCCACATATTTAGTGCTCAACAAAATAAAACTTAATGGAACATTAGGACCATTAGAAGTATATTGTTATACAGTGTTAAGTGAAACTGCTAATGAATAAAATTTTCTAGTTAATAATAGCCAACAAAAGTTTTTACTATAAAATTAAAATCTAGAATCTTTGAACTCATCTAATATTCTATGATTTGAGTTTATTATTAGTAATGGTAATGATGAGGCTTCTCTTGGACCATCGAAATAACCTTGGATACCACCGCCTCAACAATTCACAATTACTGTTCGAGTTACAGACATAAACATAACAAGTTTTCCGTATCTTTTTAAAGTAGCAGCCAGCTTTCACTCCAATACTCACTCACCTCTCTCATCCCTGTCAGCCATCTCTTGTCCTCTCATTAAACTTCCCAGCTAAAGAGACTATACTCCATTACAAGAACAATGCAGAAGATTCCCTCCTCATATACGTAATGTCCTCAAAGTCTCTCTCCTTAGGTCTCTGGAATTCTGAGCACCCACCTGGTTCAATGTCTATGGTATATGTGGGCCATTCTATTAGTCCAGTCTCCATGCTTAATTACAGGATGCCCAAAATAGCTTTACAATCAAAGGGACCACAAAATAATATAGTCACAATTAATTTTTAAACTGTTGTGCGCACATCCAACCAATCAAGTCTTATAGAATGTTTTAATATTTCCATAATCCTTTCAATTCTGTTTCCAGCACACTACTATGTCCAGAGTCCTCAACACTCTCCTACCACTCCTGGATTACTCTAAAAGTCATCTAATAAATCTCCAATTTTCCCACTCATCATCCCCTACTTTCCCTTAAAACAATGCATTTATATTCATTAATTCTCTCTCCTCCTCCTTCAGTGCACATATGCCATGAAATCAGGCCAAAATATCTTTTAAAATAGCTAAGATATTATCTTGGATCTGCAGGGCTTCAAAACTTTGAAAGACCACAGAATCCCAGTACTATTTCAGTGTAGTCACAAAGCCAAGTAACAGTACTAAAGTAATACACTAGAGCAAGCACTATATCCTTATTTCTCTCAAAAGTCTAACAAGTTTAAATTAGTAACACAATATCAAGAAATCCTTAAGTATTCATATAGCACCTACTACTAGCCCAGCGTCACAGGTAGAGAGATAATCTTGTGATATTTAGAAAACAGCTGAGATTTACTGGAGCAACATTTAACGAAAGGTAAGGCAATTGCTTAGGTACTTATAAAACCCTGACCTAGGCTGGGCGCAGTGGCTCACGCCTGTAATCCTAGCACTCTGGGAGGCCGAAGCGGGCGGATTGTTTGAGCTCAGGAATTCGAAACCAGCCTGAGCAAGAG